AAGATGTTGTGGCCTCTGGTATGGTCGCAGTCTCCTTTCGATTTATAGAAGTGGGTTGACCTCGTTTTCGTTACTTGGTCTTGCTTTCAGGGAGAACACACCTAGTCCTAAGTCGTCTGTAGTTGTCATTATTTCCAGCATCAGACAATGTACTTGGTACATTCTTAAACGTTTCGCCGGCATCATAGTCGGCATCACCAGTGAGTTTTTTCATTCTCCGCACCAAACTACAAACTCGTCGAAGAAACAAGTGAGGTCAATCCCTCGACAAATATTATGCATAAAATGGTTATACTATCACTCCTCTTTCTGTACTGGCCTATCAATCTACTCTTTACTCTCTTATCCCACTGCCGCCCTATCACAACTTCTGACTTGTTTACATTCCACTCGTCAAAATGTGTGCCCTTTTGTAGCAAATCTAGTGTGGCCTCATCACACTTGCTATTCACCACGACCCCCTACCTTTAGATCTGCTGGTCAACGATAATTTACCAAAAACACGAAGGCAAGATGGCCGGCTTCAAACCTACTACCTTCTTATATTTGGTCCACTTATGCATCTCATGTTTTGGTTGAATGCCCTATGCTTTGCGTCTATATTTGCTCATAAGTTTAGTTAAATAAGTGAGTATGAAGCGTGAAATTAGTGAAATTGAAGCCGAACAGTTCCACCCTCCCCTAAAACACCTATGCCTTTGATCCTGCAATGTTACTGCATGTGATTGCGCCACATTGTACCCGTGTTGTGTGAGTGCGTTGCTCTTGAAAAGAGTGTGATGTGATAGTCAAAACCATATTGCAGCTTAATCAAGCCTCCTCTTGCTCGGTGGTATTTCTAGTTCCACCCCTCTCTCTAAATCTATCCAACAGCCACAAGTAGTTTCCGCTTAACTTCCTACATTAATTCCTTCTATTTAGGCTGTTGGCTGTTTTGTTGATTTCTATTGCCTCCCTAATCTTTCGCTTACTGGTTGGTATAGTCTCCATATCCAGCTAAGCGTTTGGCATTAGACCAATGCATCTGGTGTCCTGTGAGAGCCAAGTGTTCGACCAATTTCGATTTTTGGACCCACATACCCTTGTAGGCTGTTTTGTGTTCGTATAACCCCTTATGTATGGGCCTACAGGTCTCTACCACATGTGAGAGAAACAACCCGATCTGGAGAGCGGATTAACTTGTTCTCGAAAAGAAGGCAATACTGAGGACAATGTTATTTTCTCTTTATAAATGCTCCTGATGTCCCATCTCCTCAATAATTCGCCTATCTTCATCGACAGATTATACAATGGCAGCATACGGATCCTGGTAAAGTGATCTATCTTTTTATCTAGCCCCAAATATGTATTTCCCTTCATTCTATTTAACAATATTCTAAAATAGTTGTCAACCGGTTCCCTTGGATAATTATTCTCAACCAGAATTAGCCTTAGTCTCCTCAGATTCTGGTACCGATGTTTAACTTCTGCCAGACGCAGGCTCCTCATTATCATAGACGTCATAACTACTATATTAACTCCATAAGTGTGGTTGGAGAATAAATTCAAAAAAGGAAACCCGCATTTGTGGGTTTCCTATACACATCTCGACCTAATCTGGTTCTCTCTTTGCTTGTTAAGACATCAATAAAAGGTAAACCACCTTCCTTTTCTAACTTGATGGTGAGTTTCGTCTTCCCATCGATCCTGTTCATCAGACCAGAAAAATTCTATCGATTTTCTTTTCAATAGAAGTTGTTTGACCTTGTTTTCGCAACTCGGTAATATTGGTAGGAAGACTTAGAGGAACGCACCTAGTCCGGATGAAGTGTCAGAGAGATGGTCTGGTTTCATGTGAGGTTTGCTCTGCCGATTGTACTCCTAAACACTTTGGGCTTGATGAGTTCCAGAAAAGAATAACATTTTAAAACACAGAATATACATGGTTTGTGGTCTGAACTCGTCGATGAAAGCCTTGGAATCTTTGGTCAAATGTTAAGCCAGAAGAAAGTATGGTGTCAACAGGCTGTATAGGCTTGGGTACGAAAAGCTTTTTTGTGTAAATGGAGACGTGTTTACATGTGTTGAAGTGGTTGGAAGCACATAGGAATCGATTAGATAAGGATAGGGATGAGGCGAATCGAGAATCGAGACGGTATGCTGTCTGGTGTTATCATATGGGAGAGGTGTCAACATGACATGCTGCATAGAGGCGCAACGCTGAGATGTTACATTGAATTGATGTTACTCAGGGCAAAGTCGTTTTGCTATGCAATCTCGGACTCATTGATGCCGTCTTTGGAGAAATTTGCTTTGCTTTCAAGTTGTATTAACTCGACCTTCATGCATGCAAAGGGGCAGCAGAATTCGCCATGACACTGATGCAAGGCGTAGGGAAGAGCTGGTTGGGTGAGTTGACTTTGCTATGACGAGACATCTCTTGGCTCTTGTGGCGTAATTGGTTCTGCCAAGAGTTCTTCCTACTGGACACTTTATGGGTTGCTGACTCGGTTTTTTTGGTGTCGGACTATTGACTTGGCGGAGTCTGATAGCCTGACTGGTGACAATGTGGTTGGTTAGCGGTTGGACTGTCTATGTCAGGCCTGCTCACTGAGTTCTGGAGTTTATAGTGAATGATTTATATGCACGAGGAGAAAGCTGGTGTTAAGAGATCTGCTACTTGAAGTGGCACTCTCGGTCTCAATAAGATGTATTAATCAAATCAAATTTGTACGTCAGACGACAGTCGAAAGATAAAGGTTAAAACTAGACACTAGAATTGGTCTGACCTCGATTTTGCAACTTGGTCGTGTTGCCAAGGCGGCCTAGTTGGATGCACCTTACCTCAAATCCTCTGCTTTAGTAGTTATCATAATTACCCCCGTTGGACCGTGGACTTGCCACTTTTCCAGAAGTATCGCCGGCATCATCAATGCGTCTTGCCAGTCAATGGTCCAACTCTGTGAATTATAAAAACTACCATAGAAGGGGACTTTAGACAGGATGCGTCCTATTAGGTAGCCTTGACAACACGACCAAGTTGCGGAAACGAGATCAGATCACTTCAATATACATCTTATAAAGACTGCGACCAAAATAGATACTTTAAGTGGCTCGGTAAGAATCTAAATATTGGGTGAATATTGGTGTACGCTGTGTTATATTTACTCATTGATGAAAATTAGTCATGATCCTAGTGGATAAATGCATCTCAAACAAGA